ATATAGTGCACGAGGCACTAGCTTAGACTCTCGCTAGACTTCTCAAGGACAATGGAGGTATTTAATATTTTTTAGTGGTACACTTTAATTCCTTATGCTTTTAACCCAAGTGGTTAGTTTAAACTTGATTTTAATCCTTCTCTAACATAGTGACATTTTAAGGATAAAAATTAAGGACCCGTCTAGCGAACTTAGAAAAATTCTATGAGCTAGGATAGATCACTGATTGACATGAAAACTTCAACATTTAAATTTAGTAGCATCCTAAATATCTCAGAATTTTTTAGGAATTTTTAGGACTATTTAGACCCTTAATTAACAAACCATAATTTACCCATTAATTAGGACCCGATAACTTCAGAAAATTGTAATAAATCAATTTCAACTCAAAATATTACCCATAATATCTTGAATCGTTCAAAATTTAATGCTTAACCTTATATAATTAGGGCTCCTTAGTTTGACCTTAATCTGACCATTAATTTAATTTTAACTAAAAATTAACTTTTTCCCCTATTAAATAATTAAAAATTATTAAAAATTTCAAATTTTCTCCAAACACTTAGAAACATATTCTTAGGTCATTTCTGATCTTTGGGGGTGATTCTAATCAGTTTGGAGCTGATTTGGATCAAAAACATAAAATCACCCATAATTAAGCAATTTTAATAATTCATTAAATGCCCGAAACTTAGAAAATTCATATCTTTACATAGGAAATCCCAAATCTAGCAAACTCAAAGCCTAATTACTCAACTTAAGGATTAATATTTAATTAAAATGTTAGATTCCTGAAACTAGCCCATTTCATATAGTTACCTTTTGGACCCCCTTAGCCTAGCACCTAGGAGGATCCGAAACTTTCCAAAATTGACTAATGTAACTTAAACTTCAAATATCATTATCCTAAGCATTAAAATTGATCTACAAAAATAAATTAACTAAAATGGATCATAATTCACTCATATTTAAACTTTAAATAAAATTTCCATTTCAGACCCTCAACAAACTTAAACTTTATGTAACTTTAACTAACTACCTAGCTTAGGATCTATCTCATACACACAGGCTCCTACACACACGTAAAATTATTTTCTAGGGCACCACTTCTAGACTTAGGCTAGGCCTGTGTTTACTTTTATGCATTGTGCCGGACTTTATGAGTTTTTATTACATGTGATTGAAATTGATTTATGTGCTTTGCTTACTTTTGTTGTACTCTTTGGATTCATGTTATGGGTGATAGATTTACCCATAGGTTATGATCGATATTTTTATGCTAATGATTTACTGTACTATGTGGATTACTTTTTTGCATCATCCAAAACAAAGTCTAAGTTTCAGATGAGATATCAAATAAGATTACTCGATGTTATAAATATCGATGAATAACATGAAGACTTATAAATATAGTTGCATTTAAAGGCATTGGTGACAAATAAGTATGCTTAAGGCTGCAAGCGAACCAAAGTTTCGACGAGTTACTCTTTATTTGGTTCGATTAAAGCTCGTTTGTGATCGTTTAATTAACTAAACAAACAAACTTGAACAATATTTTAAATACTCGATTCTTAAATAAACAAATTTGAATACTAATGCATTTAGTTCATTTATGTTCGCGAACAACATCATTTGAAGTTCGTGAACAAACTTGACATTAAGCTCAATAAGAAGCTCGATTCATGTGATTGCTGCAGGTATCAAATATTCTTTAACTTGTTGTCTAAGTAATTGTAGCTTTATATGGTTATTTATTTATAAATCATTGCCTTTATTAATGCTGTTGTTAGGAAAATTCTGTGAAGATGGGATTTGCTTATAAATTATTGTCTTTGTTACATAGACAATTGCTTTTATTATAAATATGTTTGTTCATAGATATGTTCATGAACTTGTTTGTTTGATAGTTAAAAAAATTCATTAAATATGTTCGCGAACATGCTCGATGTAATCGTTTGTTAGGAAGCTCGATAAAACTCGTTTGTTAAGTTAATGAACATCTAAAAGTAGTACTCTTTTATAGGAATTTTTTTATTTGGTCTGGTAACCTGACGTAGCTCTACATTCGGTGAGCAGTAAACAGACGCCACGTGTTCTCACTATTTACCGCGCGGCCCGACAAACCGACCCGGAACGGACCCGGGAGTTTGCGTATTGCTCGGTATTGCTACGTATTGGTCGATTTGCTCGACAAAAATGAGAAATACCTAGCAATACTGAGCAATACCGAGCAATACCGAGTTCTTTTAGGTATTACTCGAGTTCTTTTATGCATTACTCGGTATTGCGATATTTCTCGTTATTGTCAAGTAATACATAGCAATACCGAGTAATATATAGCAATATCGAGCAAATACCGAGCAATACGCGAACATAGTAATCCCGGATTCTGGTCCGAGTCGGGTCATCGGGCCGCGCGGTAAAGAGTAAGAGCACGTGGCAACATATTATTGGCTACCGGACGTAGAGCTACATCAGGTCACCTGACATAATAATTTTTTTTTTACAACTTGTTCATGTTTGTTTGTTCAAAGCTCGATAAGCACTAAACGAACAAACATGAATTGAACATGAACCGAACATGAACACTCATTAATTTAAATGAACACAAACAATAAAGCTCGAACAAACATGAACCAAACTTGAACAACCTGATATTAAATAAACACAAACATGAACACTCACATACTTGGCTCGGCTCGGTTCATTTGCAGCCCTAAGTATGCTTTGTGAGAAAGATGGAGCAATCTCCATAATTTTGATACCAATGCATCAAGATATTTCTTTTTTTTTTTTCCTTTTAATAGTAATACAAATTGATGATTTAAGTTCTTATTATTTATCAGATCATGAAAATTTTCATAGAATCTCTCTTATTATTCTAACTACCAGCAACCCACGTTAAAGGTAATATGAGTTCATATTTATCTGCCATATGATATTGTATTTTAATCTTAAAATTTACATTAATTTGTTTTGTATTTTAGAATTATCAAAATTTAATTTAATGCTTGTTACTCAATATAATGTTATACAAATAATTTTGTGATACAAAGTAGACCTGTCAATATTGGACCCGACCCGAAAACCCGATCCGAACCCGACCCGGAATTTTCGGGTTTGGGTTGACCCGAACCCGAAGCGGGTCGGGTTCGGGTCCGAAAAACCGACCCATTTGTAAAAACGGGTCTGGTTCGGGTTGACCCGACGGGTTGCCGGGTCAACCCGAAAACCTGTGGGAGATTGGTCAGATGGATGTGTGAGAGGGGCGGCTCTTGGCTGCGGGACGAATAGAACAAGGTGTTTGATGAATTGCTCCTGCAATGGCTATGCCAGCGCTGATCTTAGCAGCGGAGGAAATGGGTGCATTTCTTGGATGGCGATTGCCGGAGATAAAGGTACGAATAGTCTTGCAGCTTGTGATGTTTTAATTTTAATAAAATTTTAGATTATAATATATTAATTAATATTAAGGAGTTTTATAGCCAGGGGAGTTATTTTAAAAGAGTATAAATTTTAATTAATTAATTAATTTAAATTTATAATTTTATTCATCACAAGTAATTATTGATTGCATAAAATTATTATTTTTATTTTAATTATGATCAAAAAAAATTTAGACTTGTTGCAACTTTCACATTAGCAGAGGCATAAAGAATTTAATGTCTTAATTTTGCAAAGAGTACCATAATATATATAGATGAGAGAGAGGAGTGCAAGAATTATAAGAGATATTAGAGATTTTATGTTGAAACTAAGAAAGAGAAAAATCATGAGACTAACCCAATTAAATTCATTTCACTAGTTAATATTTGGTTTCAAGTGAAGTCATTCTTTGTGGGAAGGCATTGATAAATTGCTTATTAAATTGTTGGAGTCATAGAGCTTTTTGGCCAATATCCTATATAAATCCAAGTGTTGAAGTTGAGAATTAGAGTTGATATTGACGGTGTGCATTGATCCTATAAGTGATGATGCGTGTTGCTATTATTAGCAATGGTGGATTATGGAGTTAGTAGGCCTTTGAGTAGCCATGTGAGCATGATTAGAAAATTATAAGTTAGTGGAGGCATAGTAGGATAACAGTGGTCAGAGAGCTGCAGTTGGAGGTTAAAAAGATCATAACCAAATGGTGGTGATATAAGAATTGCAGTTGGGCGATGAAAATCGAAGGACTGTAAAAGCATAGGAATGAACAATAATTACGCTTTTAATAGTCACAGTCACAAAATCGAATGATTTTGTGTCAAACTCCGCACGTAATATTCTCTCCAACTCTGCAATAAAGGACAGTTGAGCTAATGGAGTAATTTTTAGAAGCATTATATATAGCTTTTTCAGGGAAATTTTGAGGCAATGCTCTAAGCATTATATATAACTATGTAACAGTTTCAAAAAAGAGAATGATTGATTGGAGGGTTTAGGCCCAATTGATCCATAGGCTTTATGACACCATTCTGAAAGGGGGAATTGATGGAAGCCTCAGACCACCATGTAAAAAATTATTAATAACCCACCTATGTTTAGTTTTGTTGGTGGGTTCTCAATCATATTCGTCCATCAACCCATGCTCGATTACCTTCGGGCGGCATCGCCTCTTAAGTGGGGCCCAAACAAGTGCGGGCCAGGAGGTTTTTGGATGGGTCTCTCTTCTAGATTAGCCGATGATTAGTCACGCCATCAAATACCCTTTCGGAGGTGGCAGCAGATGAATATCTCGTTCCAAACATAAATAAAAATTTGTTAATAATATTGGTGTTTTTGCCTGAGCAGGAAAGATAGAAATATGAGCCAAAAGGGAAGACCAAAAGGGTGAAGAAATTTTAATTTAGTTCCGCCATTGTTGATCATCTTTATCCCAATTTATTGCAATGGGCCACTGACATTTATGCTTGAACAAATCTTAATCAATCTTGCTGGCATTATTAATTATTATTTCCACACAAATGATGAGAGAGCCGATCAGTTGCGGGGAAATTATGATCATAGAATAGTCAATTTTTCAGTTCCCAACCACCATGATTCAAGCATTATTTATGCGATCTGTAGATTTGGAAGCATTCGGAAAATCTGGAGATGACGAGAGAGCCGATCTTCCCGAACCTTGTCATCATCCTCTTCTTCTTCTTCTCCATCTCCTTCGCCATAGACATCCTTACTCCATCTCATCCACTCTCCTATAAAGAAACCCTCATCTCCGCAAACGGAACCTTTGCGCTCGGCTTCTTCACCCCTCCAAACACCACCAACAGCTATATAGGCATTTGGTACCACAATCTCGCTGTTCAAACCGTCGTCTGGGTTGCCAATCGCCGGAATCCCATTCACAACATCAACGCAACACTGTCAATCATCGCCGATGACGCATCTCTCCATCTCATAACTTCTGGTAACTCCACTCCTCTTTGGTCTTCCCCTTCCTTCCCCAATTCCATCCCCAATCCCGTCGCTCAACTTCTCGACACGGGTAATTTGATCATTAGAGCTTCGAATTCCAGCTCCCACTTATGGCAGAGTTTCGATTACCCGACCGACACCTTGCTCTCCGGGATGAAGCTTGGCCCGGAACTGAAAATCGGCATCGATCGGAATCTCACGGCATGGCTGAGCAACTCCGATCCATCGCCGGGGAAATATTCCTTAGCGATCGACACCATCGGCGTTCCCCAACTGGTCATCCGCGATCTCTCTGGAAGCTGGATCTGGCGTGGCGGGCCATGGAACGGCTTCGGCTTCACCGGTGCCTGCCCTAAAAGATTATTCTCCATCGATCTCTATCGAGACTTCAACCAAGGCTTCAACTCCACTCCGGAGGAGATCTTTTTCTACTACAACTCGATCGGCGACGCCATTTCTACACTGACCATGGATCAAAAAGGGGTAGCCAGAATATACCATTGGAAAGCATCATCTCAGAATTGGAATCTTATTTGGTTCGCACCAAGCGATCCTTGCGACTTCTTTCCGGCCTGCGGAACCAATGCCATCTGCGATTCCAGTAGCTCGCCGATGTGCCAGTGTCTTGGTGGATTTAATCCCAAGAATCCGGTGAGTTGGAGCGAGGGAAATTGGTCTGATGGCTGCGTTAGAGGGGCGGCGCTCGGCTGCGGGGCAAACGGGGCAAACGAAACCGACGAGTTCTTGGTGGTTCGCGGCACGACGCTGCCGGACACGACGGCGGCGGTGGCGGATATGAGCTTGGGCTTGGTTGAGTGTAAGACAAGGTGTTTGATGAATTGCTCCTGTAAGGCTTATGCGAGCGTTTATCTTAACGGCGGTGGAGGATTTGGATGCATTGTTTGGATGACGGAGATTAAAGATCTCAGATCCTCTGCGGACGACAGGCAGCAGGATCTCTTCGTCCGAATCGCGTCATCCGCTAATGGATCTAACGGTATATACATCATTAGATTATTAATTTGATAACATGGTCACGTATCGTACTCAATTAAAATCTATTTTAACTTAGCTTAGCTATGAAGCTATTTTTAAAATTTTGCCTGACATTGTTGGATACGGTACGGCTCTTTGGTTCATTGCATTTACACTTACAGAGTGAAGCATTTATGATCGACCTAATTTTCCTTTGACTAACATTAAGATAAGGCATTGGTTGGACTGGCAATTATTGTTTCTATAATTTATGCTTGAATTGTTCAAATAGTAAATCTGAGATGCTAATCAAGCATATGTGAAGTGAATATTGTGTCTTCCCTCTAAGTACGTGAACTTCAAGTGATATATATTTATGAAACTTTCAATTTCTTATCACATTGAAGCTTTGAAGAAACAATAAAATAAGAGAATTTGATTAAAATATAGAAAGAAGAAACTATGGCTTTTGTTAGGCATTGGTGAAGTTTTAGGTTATTTGTTCCTTAGGACCTTGTTGTCTTAGTAGATTCGTTCTTCTATAAATAGAAGAGGTTGTAATGGTGATTGGAAGCTCATGGAAGAGGACTAAAGAAAATTCCCCCGCTAGCTCTCTCTCTCCCCTTCCTCTCTTCCCCCTCCCTCTCTCTCATCCAAGAAGATTCAATTTCCTCAAAAAAATTCATAACAGTTTTATTTGATATAACTTTTTTTTATGCTTTTTAAAGTAGCTTTTTAGCACAAAATTTTTAGTTCAAAAAAAAAAATGTAATAAAATGTTACTTTAGAAAGTTGTCACAAAAAAAATCTATATTGTGTGAGAAGAACATGCGACGTTTGGTTGATCATCTACATGATAAAGACAAAACGATTGAAGTAGTGAGATTTATAAAATCAAGTTAAATTGATGAAGTATGAGCCAATTAAGTATTGATTTCATGAAGCAGAAATAAGTGAAGGGGAAAATCTATCAACTATATGTTACGTCAGGACGTTGGCATTCTTAATGGAGTTCTTAAAGCAAATATTTATGTGTAGCTACTACAAGATTTTTAGGTAGAATGAGAAAAAATCAAACCTTTAATTATGACATGCATTGAATTAAGCCCCCGGATACGAGATGGTAAATCTTTTATGTAAATATTTTTGCTCAAATACAGAGCTCAATTTTTAAAATTTTGAGCTTAAACAAAGAATTAATTACAAGCCCCTTTTCCAATTTCTTTTTTCCAGCACATAAATATTGACACACATTTTTTTGACTTCATACTACACTACTTTTGTGAATAACAGGGAAGAACAAGAAAAAGACATGGATTTTTGTCACAATGCCAGTAGCTTCTATATTGTTGCTTCTAATAGTTTTGATATGCGCCCTTGTGATAAGAAGATGGAAACGCAGAAGTATGTTTTTGAAATATTATTATTTCACTTTGATTATATATATATATATATATATATATATATATATATAATAAATCATGACCACATAATACAACAACAACAACATCAAGCCTTTATCCCACTACGTGGGGTCGGCTACGTCGGGCTGGCAATTATTGTCTCTCTACTTGATTTGTTCAAATAGTAGATCTAAGATGTGAAGTGAATATTGTGTCTTCTCTCTAAGTACGTGAACTACAGGTGATATTTATGAAACTTTCAATTTTTATGTCATTGAAGCCTTCAAGAAACAATAAAATAAGAGAATCGATTAAAATATTGGAAGAAGAAACTATGGCTTTTGTTAGGTATTCGTCCAGTTTTAGATTATTTGTTCCTTAGGGCCTTGTTGTCTTAGTAGATTCATTCTTCTATAAATAGAAGGGGTTGCAATGGAGATTGGAAGCTCATGGAAGAGGATTAAAGAAAATTTCCCGTTAGCTCTCTCTCCCTCTCTTCCCCCTCCCCCTCTCTCATCCAAGAAGATTCAAGTTCTTCAAAAACATTCATACTGCTTATTAAAGTAGTTTTCTAGCACACAAATTTTTAATTCAAAAAAATTTTGAAAGAAAAAGTTAATTTACAAAGCTGTCGCAAACAAAACTAATATTGTGTGAGAAGAACAGGCGACGTTTGGTTGATCATCTACATGACAAAGACAAAGCGATTGAAGTAATGAGATTTATAAAATCAAGTTAAATTGATGAAGTATAAGCCAATTAAATATTGATTTTCATGAATCAGAAAGAAGTGAAGGGAAAAATCTATCTATCAACCATATGTTATGTCGGCATTCTTAATGGAGTTCTTAAAGCAAATATTTATGTGTAGCTACTATAAGATTTTTAGGTAGAATGAGAAAAAATCAAACCTTTAATTATGACATGCATTGAATTAAGCCAATAAGGTTTTAAAGTTCTGACATGTAAGACAATATCTTATAAACTTCTAGCTCGTGGAGATAATCTAACTATATTAATAAAATTCTAATGTACTACCGAGGAATCTAAAAAGAGGATGCTCACCTATAAATGCAGGTGGCATCCACTTTGTTTGTAACATAATACAGAGATTGCTTGAGCTATCAAAAGAAGCTATTTTATTACAAGCTCTTTTTCCAATTTCTTTTTTCCAGCACATAAATATTGACACATTTTTTTGACTTCATACTGCACTACTTTTGTGAATAACAGGGAGGGGCAAGAAAAAGACATGGATTTTTGTCACAATGCCAGTAGCTTCTGTATTGTTGCTTCTAATATTTTTGATACTTGTGATAAGGAGATGGAAACGCAGAAGTAAGTTTTTGAAATATTCTTATTTTACTTTTATTATACTATATAAATACATATAAAAAACTAAACTTTTTTTTTTTTCTTAATTCCAAGAAGAAGAGGAACAATTAGTTTCCTCTGTAAATTGGGGTCATGAAATTATGCATGAAGCCAATAAAGAAGGGAATTCAGAAATATCATTCTTTAAATTTGCTCAAGTAGTAAGTGCTACAAACAACTTTTCTGATATTAACAAGCTTGGAGAAGGTGGTTTTGGACCTGTTTATAAGGTAACATCTGTATAAACTTTTTCAATGCTATGTGAAACTGTTCAGTGCATTGTGATATTGATATGTGATGTGCAAATGTTATTGTAATGGACATTATTTTAGGGCAAATTACCAGAGGGACAAGATGTGGCTATCAAACGGCTTTCTGCAAGATCAGGGCAAGGATTAGAGGAGTTCAAAAATGAAATTTTATTAATTGCTAAACTGCAACATAGGAATTTAGTAAGATTATTAGGTTGTTGTATTCATGGCGAAGAGAAGATGTTGATATACGAGTTCATGCCTAATAAAAGCTTGGATCTCTTGCTTTTCGGTAAGTTCTCTCCAAAAGAATAAGGAACAAACCATAAGTTCATTTCTAATCAAAATTATTGATATCTTCTGCAGATGTTGAACAAAGATTAAAACTGTACTGGACTAGGCGCTTTCAAATAATCGAAGGAATAGCTCAAGGGCTTCTTTATCTTCATAAGCACTCCAGATTAAGAATCATTCATAGAGATTTAAAGGCAAGCAACATTCTCTTGGATGGTGACATGAACCCCAAGATCTCAGATTTTGGCATGGCAAGAATTTTCGATTCTAATGATACCCAAGCAAATACTAGAAGAATTGTCGGCACCTTGTAAGTATATGAATCACTTCTCCATCATTTTTGAAATGAATTCTGATTTGGGCTCATTTGGTTGCTTATAGGTAGAAAATACATTTTAGAAAAAAAAAATTTTACTAATTTTTTAGATTTTTATAATTTAAATTCTCATTAATGTAACGGATTTTTCATTTTTAAAACTCTATTTTTAGGGCTGTTTGGTAGCATGATTTAGGCCAGATTTGAGACGGATTTGAGCGAAATCCAACCAAACGGCTTAAATGCAAAATCAAATCTCACGGTAAATGAAAGCCGTCGTAGGCGAAAATTCAGCCTTTTCATGTTAAATCCCGGATTTCTGAAATCCTACTTTTTGCCGGATTTATGAAATCCGTTGGCCGGAGAGGAAGAGTCCGCTCATTAAATCCATTCTATAGCCAAACAGTCACACATGATTTAATAAGATTTATTATGAATGTTACCAAACAATTTTTAAGATTTAGGCCTCTCAGGATTTCCGAAATCCAGATTTACAAAATACAGATTTATGAAATCCTACTTAAATCAAATCCTATATGCTACCAAACAGCCCCTTAGTTTGAAGCAATCAAAATGGAGTTTTAATTTAATGTTTTGAATGCTAATTAGCTCCATTTTGCCATTTTTTTAGCGGGTATATGTCTCCAGAATACGCTTTGAATGGTCTCTTCTCCGTCAAATCGGATGTATATAGCTTCGGAGTCCTGCTTCTCGAGATTGTGAGCGGAAGAAGAAATCATGGTTCTTGTAATCTCCTTGCATATGTAAGTGATCCATCCCTTTTTTCTTGGCATTTAACTTAGAAACTAGTAAAAAATTTAAAAAAAAAACTTAAGTAATTTCATGCTACTTCATCAGGCTTGGGGTTTATGGAAAGAAGGAACCTGGGCGGAGCTTGTAGATCCTTCATTAGATAATAAATTTCAGAATAATGAGGTTGCGAGATGCATTTACGTTGCACTTTTATGTGTGCAAGAGAGACCAGAAGATCGCCCTTTCATGTCTGATATTGTTACCATGCTTGCCAATGAAAGCTTATACTTCAACAGTATCAAACAACCTGCATTTTTCACCATTGACAATGATTTAGATGCTAGAAATCCATTGAATCAACATGTAAGTACCTCTTTTAATGACCTTTCAATCTCAATTGTTGCAGGTCGCTAACACTTCATAGCCTTTTTTGTTTTGTAAATTCTGTAGATTAAGATCATAAAAACTTCTAAAATCATACATTTTACATGGCCATAACTTTTTTGTTTGTCTATCTCTAAGCAATTAGCACAACAAAAGCTCCCATCCCATTAATTTCTTACAACATTTACACATTAGAGGACTTTCATAAACAATGCATAAAAATCTAAAATAAAAAAAAATATATAATATTTGAAATTAAGTAAAAACAAAAGAAATTTGCTAGCTTGAATTGAGCCTTTTGATCCAGTCTATCTCACAAATTACGATGACTAGCTCATTTTCATTGAGCGAGCTCCAAGTTTATTAGTCCAAAAGGAGTTGCAGAAAAACTGTAAATGTTTAATATCTCTACAAGACATTGAAACAAAGTCCTAATACACACAATTCAAATAAAATTTTTTCTACGTCTATACTTTACTCTAAACGGTTCAACTAAAAAAGAGTCAAACAAAGGCTTCATTTAGGACAAATTTCTTGTTGCTTTTTAGTACAAAAATTTTTACTTCAAAAAATTTTTGTATAAAAAATCTGCTTTAAAAAGTAATAAAAAAACTGTCACAAATAAAACGAAAATTTCAAGCCACACTTACGGGCATCTCTTTTGATGTTATAAAAATATTATAAAATCAACATCAATCTACCATCAAACAAAAAAATTGGCTAACCCAAAATTACTAACTATCAATTTCTGCTCTATCAAATGAATGGGTGACACAAAATCTCATTTCTCCTCAACTAAAAAAAAATTCAAAAAACATTAACTAATCAACGCTTTGATTATTCAAAAAACACAATGCAATTTATTATCAAGCAGCCCATGAGCAAATAATAATAATAATAATAAACGACCACCTTTTCCTAGTCAAGGTCTTAATGGTTATGTGATACCTTTTAAAGCAATCCCTTTTATAACATTAATTTTCTCTAAATATTAATAAGTATGAGAAATATATTGTAAATAAAGTCAAGCTAATCTCGAGCTAGTCTTAGGCTTCGTTTGCGATTGCTTTTTCATTGCTTTCTAAAGCAGCTTTTTAGTACAAAAGTTATAATTCAAGAAAAATTTTAGCTAAAATACTGTTTTGGAAAGCATTAAGAAAGTTGTCCCAAATGAACCCTTAGCTATTCCACCAATGGCTCAAAATAATGTCCGGTCCTTACTTTAGGCTCACTTGATTTGAACCGATTTACGATCTTCAAGCTGAGCTCTCAACCCTAACTATAGTTGAAAAGAACTCTTTAGATAATTGAAGTGTTAGCAAAACCTAAAATACCAAGAAAACAATCCTTCTAACATTCTTATTCTACTTCTCCATCTCCCCTACTGAACAAATTATGAGTGTGCATTGGGTTAGAGAATACTGAACAATACATTTGAGTCACATAAATCAAACAATAATAATAAGTCAAAAACTAAATTATTTAAAGTATGACCTATAAATTAATTTAAAAATAAGAAATAGTACATGAAGGATAAAATAATAAAATTTACAAGTAAAAAGGGACAAAGGGTGAAAAAAGAACTAGGAAGATCGAGATCGGATTCAAATGGGTCATGTGATTCTCATACATATTTAATCATCTTTATCATTATTAATTTTTTAAATATATTTTAAACATACTTCAACAATCAAGATTAGCCTTAAGTGATTGAATTAGACCAATTGAATTCATTTTAATGAAATTCAATTTAATTAGATCTGAGCTAATTCAATTCAAGTTGAATGAGCTTAGTTTAAATTAATTTAATACATATGAAATCTTATGCAACCTCAATTTGAGTAGACTTGGCTTAATTTTATTTGCTCTGACTCAACTCCAAAAATGAAACGTTGATGATTATAAATTTGATCTTTAAAAAGAGGACAATAAAGCAAAGAATTGCTTATTGTCAAGAACATTATGGTTCTTGATAATGAGTTCTGCTTTGTCAGTAATTTTACGATCATCCCGAACCTTGTCATCATCCTCTTCGTCACCTTCTTCTTCTTCTTCTTCTTTTCCATCTCCTTCGCCATAGACATCTTTACTCCATCTCATCCACTCTCGTACGGAGAAAATCTCATCTCCGCAAACGGAACCTTTGCGCTCGGCTTCTTCACCCCTCCAAACACCAACAACATCTATATAGTCATTTGGTACCGCAATCTTGCAGGAGAAGTATAAAAGGAGAATCAAGGATGGTAGTGCCATAAGGTCCTCGTCACCTTCTAGGAGAGTTATTCGTGGTATAGATGATCCACTTCTGAACAGTACTGTAACTGACAGCAGTGTCTCCAAGGGAAGAAGACATCGTAGAAAAGTCTGGTAATAATAGTGCTGGCAGTGGTGGAGAAAGTTGTAGCTATCATAATTTTGGTGGATATGAAATCCGTGGATGCAGATGAATTACAAAGGATTGAAATTTTCCCATGGTAATTTTTTTGCCCTGCTCATGAGAATATCAACGAACTCTTATTAAGTCACTGTATATATGCCAATTTCTAATAGGAACATTTCCTTAGAAAATATTTTATATTGAATGCTTCAATGATTGTCATGTCAACTATTCTTTACACGTTTTTATCTTGGATAGACTTATCCAAAGTGTTGATGTGACAGTTATTGTGGGTGTGGGCAATTCCTGTAGAAACTACAAACTTTTCATTAATAGAAATTGAGAGTTTTGTTCAGCGGTAAAGTTATTGTTGATCGTCCTGCACTATTTGAATTCCATAAAAAATTGTTATTTAATGAAAAATACCTCAGTTTTTGATGGTAAATGATTTTTCATAAATTAATACTTTACGAAGCTCCAGTTTTCAAGCCAACATCCGTCTCCCCTCTTCGTAAACTGCAGGCTCTTATAGCTCCCTCTCTGCTGCAAACCAAGACCCGAAACTTCACCTATACATTTTATAAAACTTTAAGAGAGGAAAGGTATAGGATTTTATTTACTATTATTATCATTAGCCAGACCTTTTTTTTAGCAATAAATTGGTCTCTGATGTATAGTAATAGTAGTGGGTATCATCATTGTCATTAGTGATAATTAGCACTAATATTATTAGTAAAGATACACATTAATGCTATTATTTATAATCACTATTACAAATTATAGCAATAAATGATTATCATTATTATAATTATCTTTATGCTTATAATAATGATAATTACTAAAAAAAAATATGTGTGAGGAAAGCAAAACACAAAAAAAGAAGAAGAAGACAGAAAAAAAAGGAGAGATGTTTATATTTTGTGTATTTCATCACCACTATCACCCAACCTGAAGGTATAGTTTTCTAACTAAGGAAAATCCCGCTCTCAAGGCTTGAGACGAACAGACAAATTCCCTACGTGCTCACGTAGCGTAGTAGAGAGGGAAACCTTTGCAACGCTCGCAGCAAGGCAGGTAATCCCCGGAGTGCTCATGTAGCATGAAAGGGAAAAAAAGTACCTCCAAATGCTCACGTAGTGCAGATGGGGGAAAGAAAATTGTGCTCTTTTAAACACGAACTCGAAGACCTCTTAAATGCTCATGTAGTGAGCGAGGATTTTAAAAAAATTTAACCGCGATGTCATTTGACACTTACCTGAAGCACTCAAGTAGCGACGAGGAGAAAGTTGCCTCTTGGTTTTCCGCAAAATGGAGGATATGCCGGGAGGCTGCCAAAATTTGAACTGAAGATGCACAAGACTAGGACATTACTTGGACATTATTTGAACATTAATTTGGACAATAAAATGAACTAAATTTTAATATAAATAAATGAGCAAAATACTTATATCTATTTGGACGAAGAAAAATATTGAATGGTCACCAAGACTTCAACATAACTTGAACAATAGGAAACTCGACGAATGGAAGAGACTCATATCGAGCCTAAACTTTATTTGAAAATGTTTTGGACTTGTACTTGAACATGAACTAGACTTGCAATCACAGAGAACATAACCTAATGTCTAATGCTAAAATCTCTAATTTAAAAAATGATAAGTGTTAAGCATACAAGCATGAAATTCATGCTAAACAAAATTTTAATTAGATAGGACACTTGATCTATCATATAAGAATGATAGTGATTAATTACAATATTTGTATTCGTCATGTGATTAGTCTAAAAGCACACTCAAGAGGCATACACTAAACACAATGACAAACTCCTGGTGAATAATAGTGATTCATATGCAATGATATGTCTACAGTCAACAACAAGGAATTTCATTAAAGTATCAAAGGGGCATCTTACATGTTACTAATCAGGAACGGAGATAAGGAACTTGTAGTCGTAACCTATCTACAAGGGGAAGTTTCTAAAAATACAACTCAATTACAAAGTCAAGGCTTGGGTTCTTTTGAACAATACCATGTTGCAATCAACAATTCAAGGTTTTCACTTAATATCAAGAGACTTGTAATGCACACAATAATCTAATTACATGTGTATGCGGAGATTTGTGGGGAAACATTTAAACGAATGGTGATGTGCAATTCCCTTGCGAGTACTAAGACCTAATATGAGACAAATGAAGGAATGTGGAACTTTTGATGAGCAAAAGTTCTATCGTAACTTGTTTACAAACAATGATCAATGGTGGACAAGAATCCTACATCTCGCTCAAAGCAACTAATAATAGGGAGATCAATTATTAATCAAAAGATTCATGATGGATAAGTGACCAAATACCTGACTACAAATTAATGTCTGAGGGTTTAAATTCAAATATTTCAAATTCTTCCCAAGTGCCACAAAAATTAAAAAAAAAATCTCAAAATTCCAAAGATATTTAAAATTGAAATCCATCCATCAATACTTAAAGCAAAATCCATCTACTATCCGTAACAGTTTGCTGAGGTGAAAAAATCAAAATTTACTTCAGCTTTCATAGAGCTAATGCATAGTCAAAAATATTCTTAGGTTCCATTCCTAAACAGTCTCATGCTAGTAAGGACGTGTCCTCTAACCGACGGTTTTTTCAACAAATGGTATCA